ATTTTGCACACCCTGGAATGCTCATTTACCTCTCTTCAGCTTGGGAGTTTCAATGTACTCACAGCCAGCAAGAGTGAGCTTACTGCTGCTGCCTTAAAGTCAGTGCTTAAACAATCTCATAAAAAATTGAAATTTCCACCTTTATTCAAGCTTGTCAGGAAATCTCCCTGTAGCCCTTTGTATCTGAAAATGCATTATAACTTGTTTAAAGCACTGTGGGAAAGAGTTTTACATTTTTTCAGTTGCACATAAAATCACCTTACGAGCTGCCAAATGAAACTGGTAAAACTCAGTGAATGGGGGTGCCCGCTTCAAAATTTCCTTTGTGACATGGAGCTACCATATTCCTTGCTTAAAAAGCTAGCCTGGTTGTTTTACCTCTTCATTTAACTCCTACATAGAAATTAGGAGTTCTTCAAGACACGCTTATTAATTAAAGTGAGATATAACCACTGCTTACTAGTAGAACTGACACAATGAATATATCCCAAATATTGTTCTCACATGGGAAGGTTGAGAGTTTATAAGTAACGGTATTGGAGCAAAGTTTTTATACAGTATTAAAATTAACTTGGTATTAATACAAACTAGAATGTTTTAAACTAAGATGTTAATTCTAATCTTCAGGGCAAAAACTAAGAAAATTTAACTCTAAAAAAATGATGTAAAATAAACAACAAGGGGATTAAAATGATACACTAGAAAATATCTATTCAGCACAAGGAAAAGCATTAATGGAGGCATCAAGGAATAAAAAATACATGACATACAGAAAACAAATAAAATATGGCAGTGTAAATCCTACTTTATCAGTAATAGTATTAAATATAAATGGATTAAACACTCCAATTAAAAGCCAGAGATTAGCAGGATAGATATTTAAAAACGATTCAACTACTTACTATCTACAAAAAACACACTTTATATTCAAGGATACAAATAGGTTGAAATTAAAAGGATGGGGAAAATGTCATGCAAGCAATAACTAAAAGAGAGCTGGATTTGTCATACTAATATCAGAAAAAAATAGACTTTAAGCCAAAAATTGTTACTATAGACAGATCATTTGATAATGATAAAAGGATCAGTCTATCAAGAAGACATAGAAATTATACACATATATGCACTTGACAATAGAACCCCAACATGTGAAACAAAAACTGACAGAATTAAAGAGAAAAATAGGCAATTCAACAGTATTCAATATCCTACTTTCAATAAAAGATAGAATAGGCAGAAGATAGACATGGAAATAGAATACTTGACCAATACTATAAGCCAACTAGACCTAACAGAAATTTGTTGAATAATCAACAGCAAAAAAATATACATTCTTCTCAAATATACATGGAACTGTCTCCAGGACAGACAAATATGTTTCCCATAAAACAAGTCCTGAGACTTTTAAGAAGGCTGAAATCATGTAGAGCATATTCTCTGACCACAAGGAAATTAAATTTAAAATAACAGAAAGATATTTGGAAATTCACAAATATGGGGAAATTTAAAAAAAAAAAAACTACTAAATAACCAATGCATCAAACAAGAAATCACAAAGGAAGTTAGAAAGTCATTCTCAGCAAATTAACACAGGAACAGGAAACCAAACACCGCATGTTCTCACTCATAAGTGGGAGTTGAACAATGAGAACATGTGGACACAGGGAGGGGAACATCACATACCGGGGCCTGTCAGTGGGTGGAGGGCTAGCGGAGGGATAGCATTAGGAGAAATACCTAATGTAGGTGACGGATTGATGGTTGCAGCAAACAACCATGGCACGTGTATACCTATGTAACAAACCTACATGTTCTGCACATGTAACCCAGAACTTAAACTACAACAACAAAAAAAAAAAAAAAAAAAAGGAGAAGAAATTCAAAAAAAAAGAAAGTACTTTGGGAAAATGCACATTTTATTAAAAAAAAAAAAAAACTATGGGATACAACGAAGTCACTACTTAAAAGAAACTTTATAGCTCTAAAACCAATATTTAAAGAGAAAAAGGGTCTCAAATCAATAACTTACCTTCCACCTTAAGAAACTAGAAAAAGAAGAGTAAACTAAATCCAAAACAAAAAGGAAGAATTAAAAATAGATAATCCTCCAAAGGTTAAGAAAATTAGTAATTTTTCTATAAACACAGTGAAAATTTTCATTTGAAAAGCTTATTGTAATTTATAAGTTCGGAGACCAACTTGGATTTTATTTTATGATTAAAAAAGTAATACTAGTTCACTGTGTGAAGATGTGAAATTGCCAAAAAGCATTTTAAATATCACAAGCTAGAGTTATCCGTCATTAACATTTTGGTACATTCCCTTCCAGTCTTTATTCTAGGTCCATGTACATAAAACCTATACCAGAGAGCAGGAAATATATACATATTTCTATATATTTTGTCACTCAATATTTGATTATAAGTTTTTCTGTGTTATTAACATTTCTTTGAAATATTATCAATGACTGTATAATAATGCTGCCTGCAAATAAAGCTTAATTTATTGAACCATTTCCCTGTTTTTGGACATTTAGAGTGTTTCTGTGTTTTTTCTTAGAATAAAAGTTCTAGATGTGGGATTACTAGGTCAATGATTAAACTGCCTTAAAAAACTTTCTCTTGTTGTGATTTGCTTTTCAGAAAGGTTGTACTAATTTGCATTAACACCAGCAGTGTATTAGATTGCCTGTAGAAATCCCAGTTGAGTCATACAATATGGCAAGTACTAATATATTACCGAATCAAAAATTAAAATATTTTAATGTCAAGACCATTCCAGAAAATGTAGGATGTGATTTTAAAAATCAATAAAGAAATTACTGTTTTCCTTTTCATACATCACCAAAATATTACTAGAGTGAGTTTAAATTTTTTTGCTGCATCTATTCATAAAATCTGGAATTGAAATCGAATTTAGAATCTCTGTGTCTAACTTCTCATTTTATAGACTATTTAAAGCCCAGAAAGATGAAGTGAGTAGCCCAAGTCACACAGCTGTGCCCATGACTTACAATCTGGTGCACTTTGTTTTTTAAACAACTTAATATTAAAAAATACAAGTAACATGTGAATACACCTCTGTAAAAATTAAAATATTACAGATATATCAATATAAATATATACAGGTACCGATGATATATAATGTGTATAATACACCAAAAATATATAAATATATTTAATACACAGACATAATACATAATATGCAGAAAATGTTATATGTAATACATATTAAATACAAATATACAGATGACCTATTATATATTTATAATATACATAAAAATATAAAATATATTATGTGTTAATAACTGTATTCGGCCGGGCGCGGTGGCTCAAGCCTGTAATCCCAGCACTTTGGGAGGCCGAGACGGGCGGATCACGAGGTCAGGAGATCGAGACCATCCTGGCTAACACGGTGAAACCCCATCTCTACTAAAAAATACAAAAAACTAGCCGGGCGAGGTGGCGGGCGCCTGTAGTCCCAGCTACTCGGGAGGCTGAGGCAGGAGAATGGCGTAAACCCGGGAGGCGGAGCTTGCAGTGAGCTGAGATCCGGCCACTGCACCCCAGCCTGGGCGACAGAGCAAGACTCTGTCTCAAAAAAAAAAAAAAAAAAAACTGTATTCATGTGTATATATTCACACACACACACACACACACATGTTCCCTCCATCCCTTATCCTCAATTCCATTCTAATTCTCAGAGCCCTCCAACGGTAGAGATCTTTCAGACATTTTCTAAATTCTTAATCTATAAATTTAAATTTGTATTATAGTTTATCTTCAACTTGTTTTTTTCTTTTCTTTTTTTCACTTAACAATATGTCATGCACTGAGGCCTTTCAGAGGCTGGAGGGTGGAAGGAAGGAGAGAATCAGGAAAAACAACTAAGGGGTACTAGTCTTAATACCTGGGTGATAGAATAATCTGTACAACAAACCCCCATGACACAAGTTTACCTACGTACTTGTACCCCTGCACTTGTATCCCTGAACTTAAAAGTTAAAATAAAACTTAAAAATTTTTTAAAAAATGTGTTGTAGAGGTCTTTGCATATGTGCTCATAGAGATCTACCTGTATTTTTAACTGCTACCTAGTAACATAATATGGTCATATCATAACTTATTTAACCACTCTTTTTCAAAGAATATTTGATTTGTTTTAATCTCTTGTTGTCACAAATGATGCTGCAATGAACATCTTTGAATGTACATTTTTATGTACATGTGCAAGTGTTTCTGTGGGATAGATATTCAGGTGTCAAATTGCTGGGTCAGTGATAATGCATATACTGCCATACTGTCCTACAAACAGGCCATCCTCTCACCGTTAGTGTGGTAGGCAGAATAAAGCCTCCTCCCAGACGTAACCATGTCCTAATCCTGAGAGCCTATGAATATATTACCTTACATGGCCACAGAGAATTTGCAGATGTGATTAAAGTTAAGGAACTTGAGATGGGGGAATTATCCTGGAGTATCTAGTTGGGCCCAATCTAATCACATGAATCATTAAAAGCAAAGAATCTGTCCCAGCTGTGGTCAGAAAGGGAGAGGTGACTACAGAAGAATGATCAGAGGGATGCAACATCGCTGGCTTTAACAATGCATGATGGAGGCCAGGAATGCCAGTGTCCTCTGTAAGGCAAAAAAAAAAAAAAAGGGAAAGGCAAGGAAATGGAAAAGGCAAGGAAATAGATTACCCCCAGAGCCTCCAGAAAGGGATACAGCCCAGTCTGACACCTTGATCTGAGCCCGGTGAGACTCTGTGGGACTTCTGATCTACTAAACTGTAGGATAATACCAAACCATCAGTTTGGTACTGCAGCAATAGAAAATGAATAAAATTGGTGTTAGAGAATACACATTTAAAAATCTTAGCATTAGATGTTATCAGTCTGTTTAACTTTTTCAAATCTCACAGTCAAAATTGGTGAGCCACTGTTGCTTTCACTTGAATTTCCCAGATTACTGATGATGCTTAGCTTTTTTTCATAAGCTTTTGACCTTTTGAATTTCTTTTGTAACTTGGCAGAGAAGAATCTAGGTTTATTCTTCTGTTGGATTGTTTGACATTTCTGATTAACTTGTAGTCTCTTTTAAATGTTTGCATTCTTACAGTAGAATTTTATAGACTTTGCTTGTTAAACGTGTGCCAAATATTTTTCCCCAATTTGTCACTTGTTCTATTTTCTCCACACTCATTCTACTTTACCAAGTTGCTGGGTCTGCCTCTTGGTTTGCTAGCTCATCCCTCAGTGTGGTTTGTGGGTAAGCACTGACTGCATGTCACATGCACAAGAATGTTGTTGAAATGGGAACAATCTATGCTGGTGGACTCTGCCAAGATTGAATAGATCAAAATGCCACCTAACTCTATGGAGGAGAGGCGGAGAGTTTTTTTGGTTTTGCTTTTTAAATATAGGAATGGTATGACATGGTAAGTAAGGTTGCTTCCTTTAAAGAAAATAATCCACAGATCCTGTAAAATCAATGAACTAAAGTTGACAGATTGATTCAGAATGATGAGTTTTTTCCTCAGGGTTGACATGACCTGCTGTACTGAACAAAGTGGTGTTTCGTCAAGCACTTGGCCAGCATGTGTGTTAGGGCTAGCTCCATTCTGTCCTTATCCATTTCTGTTCTCACTAAACCAAAAAAATTTTTTTTGAATGTCTAGGGTCTTAGGAGAGCTGGGCACATTCAAAACACAATATGTGATTAAGAAGATTAAAGAATAATATTTATTGATGGATTACTATGTGCCAAACTTCCAACCGGATCCTAACGACAATTCCATAAGGTGAGTATTGTTGTCCCATTACAAAAACGAGAAAACAGGCTCAGAGAGTGAGCAGCTTGCCCAAGAGATCATTAAATAATAGAACCTGAATTTGAACCTCAGGAACCAATGCTCTTAAAACACTATAGCATCTGAAAAGTAATTTTAGCCATCCTACAATAAAAACTCTCCAGTAAATTGAATTAGTAAAGCATTCTGAATTATACCATTTTTAGATGCTTTTCAGAATATTTATAGTAACTAAGAACTAGGCTACAAAGTGTCCAATGGAAGAGCTGTTTTAAAAAAAAAACAAAACTTGATTGAATAGATAACAGTGCTTTACAATGAGTCATCGGTTTATCAGCTGATTACCTGTTGATGAATGCTTCTGAAATAGTGCATGGTACTTGAAAAATAGCTTTCCCCATTTCTCTGCAATCTTATTTACCCTATAATTTGCAAAATAAATCTTTTATTTAGAGATAACACAGAAACTTTATTATAGCTCCTATCTGATTTATCTCTAATTCTAGATTTGTGGAATCCAAATTAATGAGTTTAACTGTTAGGTCTTGCATTTCTGGTTTCTCTTTGACATGCCTGTAGGAGGAAAAGAAGGCAATCAGCTTCCAATGTGGTAGAGAGTGTACTAACTGCTTTCTGGAGAGGAAAATATATTCTGGGGACATTTATAGCCTGTTCAGCAGCTGTCAGAAGGTCCTAGGGCTACAGCAGAGCCATGAGGCTGGCCCCGCCCTGGAGTCCTCCTGCCCCTGGAATTGGGGAGTGATCCAGAACGAGCCCACACAGAGCCATGGCAGCATTCAGCCAAGGCTTGTATTCCCCACTTATCTCACAGAATCAGGGTTTCTGCTCGCAGAAAAAGCCCAGTCAGCCTCTTCAATAAAATTCCTTTTCCAGTATCTTTCCAGAAGAAATTAACCACTTTACTGTCCAGAAATAACACAGGCTGCATTTTGATCAAATAACGTAAAAGATGTGTGTGTATATGTATGTGTGTGTGTGTGTGCGTGTGTGTGTGTGTGTCTGTGTATGAGAAGGAGAGATTTGGTAGGAGTTTGGTTTTTTGAAAAATCCCATTTCCCACAGTCCCCATATTTGCTTATTTATTTATTTATTTATTTATTCATTTATTTTTGAGACAGAGTCTGGCTCTGTTGTCTAGGCTGAGTGCAGTGGCCTGATCTTGGCTCACTACAAACTCCACCTCCCAGGTTCAAGCAATTTTCGTTCTTCAGCCTCCAGAGTAGCTGGGATTACAGATGTGTGCCACCACACCAGCTAATTTTTGTATTTTTAGTAGAGATGGGGTTTCACCATGTTGGCCAGGCTCGTCTCAAACTCCTGACCTCAGGCAATCCACCTGCCTTGGCCTCCCAAAGTGCTGGGATTACAGGCATGAGCCACTGCACCTGGCCCATATTTGCCTATTTAAATTACCGTATTAATAGTAGTGGACTTATGTTGTTTCCCAGAATCCTTTCTGCCTTTGGGGAACCACCACTCCCCACTCTGTGCCCCCACTGCTTCTCAGGATTGAAGCAGGAGCTTTGCTGGCCGATGAGAATCAGCCCTGGCCCTGGCCCCAGTTACTGCCTCAGGGAAGGGTTTGGGGACCAAACTGGCAGGGTTCTCCCTGAGGTTCCTGCTAGAGCTAGTAGGAAATTCTATGTCTTTCTTTCGCAGATCATTTTGTTAGAAAGATCTGAAGTCAGCTTATGAATGGCTGAAGTTTTTTAGTTACATGAGGGAGGTGGCTGTCTGGAATGAAAAGAATGAGGACAAAACACAGAGAGAAACAGAGTTGGTGCAGAGACAACTCTGAAGACATCACCTGAACCCCCAGATCCAGCTGCCTCTACGGCCAGCTCCATCCATGGTTTCCCAGTGACATGAGCCAAACCATCCCTTTTGGTCTAAGCTAGATTCTGTTCAATTCTGTTGCTTTCAGTTAAGGACTCTGAGTAAGACATTTTTCCATGTGTATTCAAACACCTATACTTTCTTTCCCCTTTTACAAAATAGGGTCATCCTATACATATTGCTTTACAACTTGCTTTTCAACTTAATGTGTCACTGGCACTTTTCCAGGTAATACATTTAGAGCAACCTTGTGTTTGTTTTGTTGTTTGTTTTAAACAGTAGAACATGCCATATGAACACATCCTTCTTCTATTTCTACTCATCAATGAGTGGACATTTTGTTGACTTCCTAGTTTTTTTATATTATAACTCAGTCTGCAATATACATCTTTAAAAAATGTCTTTAGGCATCTGAGCAAGTACTTTTCTAAGATAAATTCATGGCAATGGCATTTCTGAGTCAACAATTTTATACAATTTTTCATAGAAATTGCCAAATTGCCCTTCAGGAAAGTTATGTCAATACTAGGCATTTATTTTTAAAAACTCCCTTTCCTATATGCTAACCAAGGTATGAGATATTATTATTCCTTTATCATTATTATTATTACTCTTTTTAATCTTTGGTAATCTGAGAGGTAAATATATCTCTCATTGTTTTAAGGTGTGATTCTTTAAATTTTAGTGAGACTCTTTTCTTCTGTTTAATGGTTATATATATTTCTTTATCTGGGACATGCTTGTACATATCCTTTGCCCATTTTCTCCTGGGGTGTTCATATTTTTCCGGTGATTCATAATAGTTTGCTATGTACCAGTACACTGCCTGTCATATAGAGTGTCATTTTTTTCCCAACTTGCTTCATTTTAAAAAATTCTTATTTATGATGTCTTTTACCAGGCTGAAATTTTAATTTTCACATAGCCAGGTATATAAATACTTTCTTCTTTTGTTCATTTAAAAAACTCAATAAGATTATGGATCTACTTCTAACATTTACTCTCAAGTGTTTTAATAGCCTCCAGTAAAGAATTTAAGTTTGTTGGCTAGAAGATTGTGCGCTAATACTTTTAGGCTACTAGATGTAACTGGTAAAAATTTTGTGAGGAAATCATTGTATGTCTCTTTTTAAATTTTTCTGTTTCCATCTATGACATAATTTTCACTCTGAACAAGTGTTGGTAGTCCATTTTTCTATTAAGTAATGATTGGCAGTTGAGGTGGGGGATGGTCAAGGTTTCTAGCTCATCTCTGCACCATCTTGGTGAATGATCTTGGGTGAACCAAGTAAGCTTTCTAGGTTTCATCTTCTCCGTTTTGAAAGGAGTGGATTGGATGAGATAAGCTCAGAACTGTTCTAGCACCAAACTTGCAAGAGTCTATGAATTCTTTGCTCATATTTTTTAAAATGTAAATCTTATACTAAGTGATACACCATTTTCTAATACACAGTAAATAGTACTTCATAGTTTCTTTTTAGAGTGCGTTTTTGTGGGGAAGGAGTGGAGGAAGAGGATTACACTTGTTAAGTGCCTACTAGGTTGCAGGTACTACACATGTATTGGTTTATTTAGTCTCCACAAGAAACTTTTGAGATCGAAAATGTAACTCTATTTTATAGATGTGGAAACTGCAGTTCACTGAGGTTGACATTTCTGGGTTCATACAACAAGGATGGGGTAAGCTGGGATATCGTCTGATGTTCATTTTTTTATATAGGTATTATAGATATTATCTTTAGCTATTTTTGTTGATAAACTAAACTTATTGATTTCTTTAATTTTTTTGAATAGGTAAATTATTTCAACAAATATATTTGGGTATGTGTGAAATTATATATATAGACAGTATATATATAATTGTATATTATAAACACTATATATATAATTATATATACTATAATATACCATTATATATTAAATTGTATATTATATATGCAATTTAATATATAATTGTATATATACACACACTATTTTTTTATGCCAGCATTGTCTGTTAAAATGAATTTCTTCCATTCTTACCTTGTCAATCCCCAAATCCAAGTATCTCCCACTGTCTGCTTTTGTTTTCTGATCATTACTAAAATAATTCCCCAAACAGCTTCACTGATTGCCCCACGAATTCACACTAGGTCCTTGGTGCTGCTCAGGAATGCCTTTTATTATTCACCATTGACTTCGTATTGAATTTCCCAAAGCAGAATTTCCCAGACCTTAGTTTCTCTATATTTGAACCTAGCACTTGCTTCCTTAATCTCAATAGGTGGCACTAGCAAAGCTGACTTGGAATCCTCTGATGGATATTTCTTCCATTTCTCTCTTGCTCAAAATGTTACTTTTTCCTTCACATTGTTTTCCACCTGAGTTTCTGAGGAAATATGTATTCCCCTCTGAGCAGTGCTAACCCTAATTAATCTTACTACATACAAAAAAACCAAAACAAAACAAACAAAAAAAACAACTAAGACAGACACTTTCAACTGCCCACAAAATACCAATGCTGTCCTGTCCTTTTCCCTCAAATTAACACAACCCCAATTTTTAGCTGAGTTCATCAATGTCTAGTTAAATGTTCTATACCTATGTAACAAAACTGCACATTCTGCACATATACCCCAGAACTTAAATATATATATATATATATATATACACACACACAAAATTTCTCTACAAAAACACAAAAGCTTCTCTACAAGCTAGGTAGGGCTACATGATTGAGTTCTGACCAATGAAACATAAGAAGTACAATTTGGCAATTTCTGGAATATTTCTTTTAAAAAGAGGCTGTGTACCCGCTGTCGTCGACCCATCCTGCTGCCTGAAATGCTGGGATTACACACATGTAACCACGTGGCTAATCACAGTTCTTAGAATGTGTTTTGGTTATTTATTGCCATGTCATTCAAAGCAATGATTTTATTATTTCTTATGATTTTGTGGGTTGACTGAACTCAGTTGGGTAGTTCTTCTTCTCTGTGTGATGTCATTTGGGGCTGTATTCTTCTGGGGCTAGACAGGAACATCTAAGGTGGGCCAATCACATAGCTGACACTTGGGGCTGACTTGCAGTTGGGGCTGTCAACCAGAGTGCCTCAGTTTTTCTCCACATGGTGGAGGCTCCTCACATGGTGAGA